GCGAGGGCCTGCGGAATCTTGTAAAAAAATGGCGCCGGCGTCACGTCAGCAAGTAAATTTCTACATAATCTTGAATATAAACAGATATAAAAAAGCGGCGTGAAACTTGTAAATTAAACTGGCGACTCTAAGGACGTGGAAGGAAGCATAAGGTTTGTTGTCCACACCAACGTTGCACGAATAAAACTACATTCTTTAACGAAGCAGGTTCAAAACAACATTTATTCATTTTACAAGATTCCGCAGGTCCTCTCGAGATCGTGACCTTCCCATGAGACAACGAGGGCCTGCGGAGGAGGCAGGTATATTGATTCAGTCCTAGGACTGGATCAAAATTAATTCAGTCCTAGGACTGGATCAAAATTAATTCAGTCCTAGGACTGGATCAAAATTAATTCAGTCCTAGGACTGGATCAAAATTAATTCAGTCCTAAGACTGGATCAAAATTAATTCAGTCCTTGGACTGGATCAAAATTAATTCAGTCCTAGGACTGGATCAAAATTAATTCAGTCCTAGGACTGGATCAAAATTAATTCAGTCCTAGGACTGGATCAAAATTAATTCAGTCCTAGGACTGGATCAAAATTAATTCACCTCACTTTAAGTAGTGATTTATTTATACGAGATGTCATTTCAAATTCAATTCGGACTCGACTACCAATTTCTAGTCCTAGGACTGGATCAAAATTAATTCACCTCACTTCAAGTAGTGATTTATTCCAGATGATCTTGATACGCGGAAAAGTACTGGCACTAGTTGTCAAATAGAAATCCATTTTGTGATTAAAACAACTGAATATCTCCTTCAGAACCATCCTCAGAGATAGGAAAACTAGTTTCATATTAATCTTATATTCAATTCTATTTCAGAATCATCCTCAGAGATAGGAAAACTAGTTTCATATTAATATTAATCTTAGTTTCATATTAATCTTAGATTAATATGAAACTAGTTTTCCTATCTCTGAGGATGGTTCTGAAATAGAATTGAAACACTGCGCGTCCTCAAAGACAAGCGTTAAGTCGTCACGAAAATATTTCGTGCACTTAAATTGGATAAGACTCGCTACCAATCCCTGTTGACTCGATAGCTCAATAGGTAGAGCGGCGGTCTAGATACCCGAAGATGCGAGTTCAAATCCCGCTCGAGCCAACGAATTTTTCGTTGCTCGACTGCAGTGTCAGATTAATATGAATATCTCCTGTAATATACTTTATTTCGATCCCATATTTTTGCCAGAGCTAGAGTTCTCATGACCAAACATAATTACAAAATTTCAACTAGTTTCATAAAGAATAACGAAAGATAAAATTGACTGAATACATCAAAATGGATTTCTATTCGGACAACCCTTTCTGAGCGCTGATTGGCTAAAATACGAACACGAGATCACCTGGTTCGTATGAGATGTCATTTCAAATCCTCCAATTCGGACTGGACTCAATCTCGTACCCAAAGCA